ACGTCCTACCCCCTCCCTCCCTCCTCCCTCCTCGCCTCCTACCCCCCTCCCTCCCTCCTCCCTCCTCGCCTCCTCTCGCTCCTACCCCTCCCTTCTCCTCCTCTCGCTCCTACCCCTCCCTTCTCCTCCCTCTCGCCTCCTACCCCCCCCCTCCCCCTCCCTCCTCCCCGCTCCCCCAGCGTGCGACCCCAACGAATTTCACCTCAGGGTCTCAGTGATCCCTGGAAGGAGTCAGGTAGAACCGAAGATGCCGCACGGAGAGGAGGGAGGCGGCGAGGAGGCGGCGATGGAGGGGGAAAGCATGGCTGTGGTGGAGTCAGAGGACAGTCAGTCTGAGGAAGGGGCCGAGGACGGCCAGCTCTCTTCCTCCTCCCCTGCCTTCCTCAGGCAGAAAGCGGCCCAGCTCTGCTGCGACGAACTGCCCGAACTGGAGATGGCGGCAGCCAAGAGCGCCCTTGGAAGGGAGATGTTGGAGAACGGCATGGCAGAGAACGCGTATCCTCTCCTCTGCGACGTCCTGGCTGTACGAATGCTCTCCTCTCCTCTCGACGAAGCCGCCATGGCTGATACCCTGGAGTTAGTGGCAAGAGCACTAGTCGGTAAGTTCTCCCCTCCTCCCTGCTTCTCCCGCTCACGGAAGTGCAGGGAAGAATCAGCATGGCGAAGCCATCGCGCGGTACGAGGAGGCGCTGTCGGTGCATCAGAGCTTGAGGGATGAAGCGGCCATGAAGCGCTGCCTGGAGGCTATGGGAGGACTATACATGCAGCAGGCAAGTCGTGGTCCTTCCTCCTCCTCCTCTCCTCCTCCTCGTCCTCCTTTTTCTCCTCGTCCTCATCCTCGTCCTCGTCCTCGTCCTCGTCCTCATCCTCGTCCTCGTCCTCCTCCTCCTCCTCCTCCTCCTCCTCCCCCATGATGACAGCATGGCAGGGAAACCTTGACAAGGCGGTGGACATATACAATCGATGCTCAAACCTCTCCTCCTTCCCTTCTCCGTCTCCTCCTGCGTCTCCTCCTCCCCAAGGCGACGCCAGCACCGTGAAAGACCGGCCACACGAGCAGAGCTCGGCCGTGGGCAGCGCAGAGCCTAATGGCGTCTCCCCTCTGAGCGCAGGGAGACTTCATGTATGCCGAGCACGTTTCAGGTTGGAAGTGATACTGGAGGTTGCAGGACTTGCGAATGGCAGGGGATCAGGCAATGCTGCACAATATGGAGATTATGATGGACAAGTGAGTGGTGAGGGTGGGGAGAGGAAATGTATGATGGAGATGATGATGATGGAGATGATGATGATGATGATGATGATGATGATGATGATGATGATGATGATGATGATAATGATGATGATGATGATGATGATAGGAGTGATAATGATGATGATGATGGAAATGATGACTACAACAACGATAACAAGGGGAGGAGGAGGAATATAATTCTCACGCAGGATCGACAGCATTGCTCGTCTCACTCAAGCCTTTGACAGTGAGCGACAGCTGTTGAAATCTTTACGATGCTGATGTCTTGTCTTTTGCCGATTCCCCTTTCCTCCCCTCTCCCCTCTTCTCCCTCTTTTCTCCTCCTGCTCTGCTTCTCATTTCCCATGTCCCTCCCTCCCTCCGTCCCTCCCTCCGTCCCTCCCTCCGTCCCTCCGTCCCTTCTTCCCTCCGTCCCTCCCTCCGTCCCTCCGTCCGTCCGTCCGTCCGTCCGTCCGTCCCTCCAGGTCCGGTCTACGGGCTCAGGTCTGAGAGGAGGCGGCCATGGCGGTGCGCTGAGGAGTGGCAGGATGAGGGCAGCATACTCGCTGGTAGAGCTGGCAAGGATGCACGTGGAGCGGGGAGAATCGCACTTGGGAAGGAAGGCAAGTGACTTCACTTGTCCTGCTGGTACTGGTGCTGATGCTGGTTCTTTTGGCGCAACCCGCGCTGTCCTCTTGTCCTCTTGTCCTCCTCCTCCTCCTCCTCCTCCCCCTCCCTCCTCTCGTGCTCCGATACACCTCTCTCTCCACTTGTCTACGTCTTTTCTTCTTCCGCTCTCCTCCATCCTTGCTTCTCTGCCGGCATCGGACTGATTGTCTGACTGAGCAGATGGAGGAGGCGCTGGGGGTTATTGTGGAGGCTGCTGTGAAAGATGCAGAGGAGTCTCACTTCGCTTGAGGAGGAGGAGGAGGAGGAGGAGGAGGAGGAGGAGGAGGAGGAGGAGGAGGAGGAGGGGGAGGGGGAAGAGGAGGGGGAAGAGGAAGAGGGGGGGGCTACCTAGGAGAAAGAATGCAATCTGGTCATCCAAGTCATTCGGCCGAGAACTCAAAACCTGATTCTGAAAGTCATCCACTTGTATCACTTCGTCCATCTTGTTTGACATCTTCAGTTGTATCTTCGGTGTCCTGTCCACTTCCTTGGGATCTCTTTCTCAATCTCCTGGCAACACAGGCCGCAATGCCTTCGAGCCAAGGTCAATCTCAGCAGGTCGATCTTATCAAGGAGCGCAACGGCCGCGTCACGGCACGGTTCTTACCTCAGCCACCACGTCGGTCTGTGTGCTGGACTCGTTGACCTCTGTGTGCAGGCTGGAATCAAGCAGGTTGAAGCTTCTTGAAGATATGGAAGAATTGTTCTCTGCCAAGAAATGACCTCAAATGACACAATCCCTCTCCCAGAAAACAAGCTTACTTTCGAGCTGATCCGAAAATCGACCTTCCCCGCCATCCGACTCATGCAGTCTTGTCTGAGCGCTGAGAGAGCTGTCAAACATGTTGCTATCATGCCCTGGTGATCGGATCTTCTCAAACAAGATCTGTTTGGGGTTGTCTCTCCACATGTACTTTATCCATCGATCGAGTTCGATAAGCTCTCCTCGCTGTATGGAATGACATCTTCAACGATGGTGTCAAGTTCAAAGGGAAACAACCTCGCTCATGGCATGGTAGAAGATTTTGATGTCTTCCAAAGCGAGA